TCGGCTGAGACTTGAACCTGTGGCTATTGCAGTGTAATCCACAATAGGAGCTCAGTTGTTACCAACTGAACTAGGGATGCCGATCCCTTAAATTATTTATAAAAATGAAAATACTATATAATATATACATTAATTTTCTATTTTTAGTATAACTTGTATATATGATTTTTGGTCTAAATTTTATATATTATCTTTAAGCTTTGTTATTATAGTATGTTACCTTTAAATAAACTCTTTTTGAGATTATTTTAGATTATTTTTACAAGTAGTTATTTAACCTTCTAAAGAATTAAAAATTTTTTTTTTACTATATGTAAACCATTTTCTGAAAAAGTACTTTAAACTGTATAAATAATATCTAATTAAATTATCTGCAATAGCCAATTATAGAAAAGTCTGCCTATGAACTTATAGAAGAAAATTCAAATTTATTTTAGTTTTTATTATTTATTAAAAACAATTAAGATAATACTTAAAAAATTGCTATAATAAATATAATTTTATATTAATTAATAATAGATGTATTTTGTTGATAAATTTTAAGTGAAACTAAAGTTTAAAAAAAGAAAATAATTATTTATTTATGTTGAGCAAAGAAAAAAGACAATATAAATTATTCAATATGAAAATTTTCAATTACATATGTTTTTTTATCCATTCATAAAATATAATTTCTTTTACAATTATAAAATTCAGAACTTATAATAGTTTACATTTCTAGTATATTTAAGTATTAGTTATATTCTAAGTAATTGTGAATAAGTGTAATTTATTAGAATTACATAAATGATTAATCTAATAGCTAATCATTTTGATTCTATTAAAATTAAGCTATTTATTCCTAACTTAATATATAACTGGTCTATCATCTCTGTTATTTATATGATTATACAAATGATTATGTTAACTAGATATACATATATGACTATATATAAATTTTGATTGCCAGCAGGTATAAGTTATTTTGCATAATCACATAAATGATATCAAATAGAGGATAAAAGTATTACTTATTATAAAAAGTAACTAATTATCTTATTTTTGATTATATTTTTAAAAACTATAATTGATTTACTTTAAATAAAAAAAATTTATTAATATAAAATACGTTAATTTTACTATATAAGATAGGGTAGTATATTACTAAAATTAATTTTTTTAAGTTTCGCATAAGGGATAACATTGATTGAATTGGAAGATTAATTGGAAAAAACAAATTACTTAAATTGCATACGAACTACTATACCATATTAATAGATTATTTACAATGTAACTCCCTGTATTTCATAAATAAATTCGTTGAATGTAACTATTAATATGGCGCTTTAAATGGTTAAGCGTCATTATGTAACCTTTACATCATACTTTTATGATTATAGTAAGAATGATTTTACTTAATTGTATGATTCGATCAATTTGATCATAATTCGTTTTGATCCGATGATTATCATTTTATTAGCCATATGCGTTCATGCAATAAACAAAAAAAAAAAAATTGTTATGGGAGTGGCTCACGTGAAATTATATAAATCTAAACTGGATACAAATGCAACTCCCTTCACGACCTCTTTTTCGTTTGCAAACTTGTCAAACATCCCTTTGAACAATAATTTTTAAAATGACCACACCAAGTAAACGTAAGTATATTTTTCAACATATATATGCAATAAAAAGAATAAGTATTCTAGTTTCATTAAGACATTTCTTTTGCAACTACTAGTTTATATTGGACATCTTTCGTCAAGAACAGAAAAACGAGATTTAGAAGAGTTGGTAAGCAACTTTTTTTTTACATATTTATATTTTTACTGCTCTAATTTTATTCGAAATTTTTATTTACTTTTATTTTATTTTACCTTTTTTATAAAACTTCAGTTCGAACGTTATGGAAAAGTCTTAAGCGTGGATGTGAAGCCTATGGGCTATGCTTTTGTTGAGTTTGAGGTTAATAATAATGAGTATTAATATGGCTTATGTAGTAGCAGACAGCTTGGTATGTGTTTGGATTCTCACATTGGTTGCGGTTTGCACGTCGCTAAAACACGTATGATACTACCGGATCCTTAAATAAATAGGATCCGCGTGATGCTGATGATGCAGTAAAACAATTAAATGGATATGAATTAGATGGTGCTCGCATTGCTGTGGAATGGTCACGTCGATCTGGCGGTCCAGGCAGTGGTTGCTTCTTATGTGGCGGACAAGGTCACTGGGCTAGGGAATGTCCTGATGCTAGGGAAAAAGGCATGGACGTTCGAAGCGGTCGATGCTTTCGATGTGGTGAATTAGGCCATTTGGCGAAATATTGCAGGTATGATTCAACTTAATTATCGCAGTATATAATATTTTCATTACATTTTTGATATTTATATTTGTGAATAACGATTCTATCAAAACTATTTCAGCGGTAATAGTGATTACGATCGTAGAGGTCCATCTCCTAAATACGGTAGAGCTCGTTCTCCATACTATAGTGGACGTGGTGGCTCTTATTATGACGACTATGATCGTTATCGACGTTATTCAAAATCTCCACCTTATGGAGGTTCTGGCAGTGGATCTTATAGCGGAAGAAATCGCTCAAGGAGTCCCTATAGTAGACGTAGCCAGAGCCCTTATTACAATGATTATGGAAGAAGAAGTCCGAGTCCATATGGGTATGTTTTAGGACGGTGACATTTAAATGTCACCAAAACTTAAATCATTAAGATTTTATTTTATCCTTTATTTCAATGTTGTTTTCATTTCTGGAGGTTTTTTTTTTTTTTTTTCTGGACCACTGGAAATGATAAAATGAGTCAACCGGAGATGTTCAGAGATTTGTTGTGGTCAAAAAGTTGCATGTTTTGGAGGCTTCGAGGGCTTTTTATTTGGAAATGGACAAGGAGACTTACATTTGTAGCTGACAATTTTTTTTGCTCTTTTGGTGTTTCGACACTGGATAAATCTTTTCTGGATCAACTTTTCTTAGGCATGGAAGAAAATATTAAGCATTCAGCTGAACTTTATCAAAAGATGCGTGTCTCAACAATAGACTTATTGAATACATTATGGAATCTTTTCAAGAAATTTTCTGGATCTGGACTACGAACGGAATCGACCTTTTTTTTACTCTCTTAACAAAATTCGGGACTCGGTCATTTAATCGGAACTACATAAATATTGACATCTACATTAAACAACAGGAAACTTAGTATTGACTTTTATTTTATCTTAGAGTTTATTTGTATGACCTTTATGTCTGTATAATGCGAAGAGTTGATATTTTAAATATAATACGTCAATATATACTTTTACAAAAATATTATTTTTTTTTCTATTTTTATTTTTATTTTTTTGATATTAAAGCGTTTTTATACATGTTTTGGATGTAGCGTGCGTGCGTTTGTGTTTGTGTTTTTTTTTTGCATAAACTTTATTAAAAAAAAGAAGCTTTCGCACTACAACTAAGTTAAAAATCATGTGATGTAAATATTACTCTGTTGTTATAAAATAATTTAATTCAAAATTGTTAATTTCTATATATAATAATTAAGTCAAAACATATTTTGGCCCATTTCCACCTTCAGGCGTTACCCAATCAATATTCTGCGATACATCCTTGATATCACAGGTTTTACAATGTACACAGTTTTGTGAATTAATTTGTAATCGTTTTTCGTTTGGATTATTTTCGTCGTCAACAAATTCATACACGCCAGCTTTCACACATAATTAGAATTAATCAAATTAATATTGGAAATATCATATATTAAAGAAAACAGAATATCGAATTATACCTGGGCAAAATCTTCCTTCAGGCCCATCGTAAATTTTCAAATTGACATCAACAGGCAACTTTTTATCTCGAACACGTAAATGCACAGGTTGATTCTCTGTATGGGTTGTTCCACTTCGAGAAACACTCTCAAGCAAATCAAACGTTATAACGCCGTCAGGTTTAGGATATTCTATTGGTTTACATTCTCTATGAAAAGAATGTATTAATGCCACGTGTTCATTAAAGTAAAAAGGATGCAATATATACGTCGAATAGTTACTTTGCTGGTTTTAACACAGCATGATCTGGATGATGATGTTTCAATGTCCATGGAGCTTTTCCTTTCAAAAACAACATTTCTATACCAGAATATAAGATAAACCCGTATACTCCAAGAGGTGAATTCATTGAAGGTCTAATATTTCTCACATCATACAATTCTTTGTATACCCATGAATCTTGAATTGATTCTTCATAGGCAGTGAGTGTAATAGGTCCGGATGATGTATCAGATGTTATGGCATCGTATGCAGCTTCAGCAGCAAGCATCCCGGATTTCATTGCATTGTGCGTCCCTTTTATTTTAGGAAGATTTAAAAATCCGGCAGTACAACCAATAAGAGCACCTCCGGGGAAAACTAATTTAGGAATTGACTAAAAGGTGTATCATGTGAGAATATAGCAAAGGAATCATTAGTCTATCTGGAAAATTTTATGTGTAGGCTTACGCAAAACTTACACCACCTACGCAAACCTTCGCAAAACTTGCGTCAACTTTACTAAGTGTAAGTCCTGTAAACTTAAGCGACCTTACGCGTAACTTTGCGCTTAAAAAATTTTCCTGATGTATACAAAGAATTATACCTGATATCCACCCTCATTTAAAGCTCTCGCTCCATAAGATATAACCTTTCCACCTTCAAGATGTTTCCTGATTGATGGATGAGATTTATATCTCTATAAAATGAAAATATAAAAATTATGTTCATTGAAATATCAAAAAAAAAAAAAAAAAATACGTACTTGAAATTCCTTGTATGGATGCAAATAAGTGTTTTGATAGTCCAAAGCAACTATGAACCCTAATTGCACTATATTATTTTCCATATGATACATGAATCCTCCGCCGTAGGTTTTGTAGTCAAGGGGCCATCCTGTTGCGTGTAAGCAGTAACCAGGAATATGCTTTGCAGGATCGATTTCCCAAACTTCCTTGATTCCAATCGCATAGGTTTGTTGTTGTCTACCTTCACGAAGGTTAAATTTTCTCATCAAAGTTTTAGTAAGTGATCCATGACAACCTTCAGCAAATAGAGTGACTTTGGCCTGAAATTCCATACCACGTTCAAAATTTTCTTTTGGTTTAAAGTTTTTATCGAGACCCATATCATTTGTGGCGATGCCGCGCACACTACCATCCTCATTATATAAAACCTGTTTAATCAAAACAAATATAAAATTAATTAAACTTGATAAATTTTAAAGAAAATTTTTTTTACAAATACCATCTAACCTCACTTGCAGAAAACCCCGAATAAACTTCAACTCCAACTTCTTCAGCTTGTTCACCAAGCCATTTTACATAACTGTTCAAGCTAACGATATAATTGCCTTTGTTCTTCATCACTGATGGAAGAGGAAGAAGAGGAATGGATAACTTTTCTGTAAAGAATCTCATTTCGTCCTTGAGTACTGGTTGATTTAATGGTGCCCCTCGTTCTTTCCAATCAGGTAAAAGTTCATTTAATGCTCTAGGCTCAAGAACTGCACCGGAAAGTGTGTGAGCACCTATAACATGAACAACACGAATTAAGTATTATAAAAATGCGACTCAAATTAAAGGTAACTTTCTATTAAAAATCATATACCGAGTTCACTAGCTTTTTCAATAACTACTACTCTAACTTCTTTTCCTTCGGCATTTGCCAATTGTTTTAAGCGAATTGCGGCGGATAATCCTGATGGACCAGCACCAACTATAACGACGTCAGTCTCGTCAACAAAACGCTCTGCAGTAAGACGAGGATCGACTTCTTGGTTTGTGACTGACGCATAGCTTCGAGAAGTGGAATTTAAAAAACTCTTATATGAGCCAAATGGCTGCTTAAGACTGGATTGGTGTGAAATTTTATGTAAAAGAGGTGTTTTATATGACAGAACTCTTGCACGTATTCGGAGCGTCGAAAGAATGTTACTGCCATTTATTTTAGGTGAAAGCCGTAAAATCATTGTTTGGAATTCGGTAGAAAAAAGAAAGTTGATGAAATATCTCATTATCACATCTAGTGTAAAAGTACCTAGAATTTGATTGGTCAAATCCATCTAAATTTCAAAGGTTGTGCAGGTATTAAATCGAAAATCGATTAATCGATAATCGAATAAACCATTTTTAGCGGATTTCCGATAAGAAAACTCCATTCCCTCTCGTCGAAGAAGCGTTAGCAATTTGTGTAGATAACGCACTCAAAGCTAGCCTCATTATTATTGACAATATTCTTTCAACCAAAGCCTTGAGTTTTGCTTATTTATTAAAGGAGAATAAGTTTAAAGGGTCTAGTGGTTGGGTGGACAACTTTAAAAACGACACAATCTTAAACAGTACGTTATACACGGGGAAGCCGCAAGTGCGCCGCTCGAAGATCTCGAAACAATGAGAGATAATCTCCGGCAAATATTAAAAGAATATAGTCCCGAAGATATATTCAATTGTGACGAAACAGGACTGTTTTGGAAGATGAAACCAAGTCAAATGATATCTAATGAACAAACATCAGGAACAAAATAATTAAAGGATTGTGTAATAATCCTACTCACATGCAACGCAATGGGGAGTGAAAAGCTAATGCCTTTATTCATACACAAGTATGAAAGTATGAAAATTCTAGAGTTATTAAGAACATTGATAAAAGAACACTTCCAGTCAAATACTATGAAACTAAAAAAGGTGAATGCAGGTTTTAATCTGAAACGAGTACATAAAAAAACTTGATACAAAAATGAGGACAAAACCAGAACATTTTCCTTCTTGTAGATAATACTCTGACACATGCTCTTTATGAAACCACCTGTCTGATTAACATCACCATTCAATCCCTCCTCCCAAACACTACTGCACACCTCCGACCTTGTGATCAAGGTATCATAAATAGTTTTAAGGTGAAAAATGTAATTGATTTAATAATTTTTTAGTTAAAATATAATTGACATTAACTTTATTTATACTTAATTCTAATTCAACTTATTTTAGGCATAATATTGAAAGCTTTATTTACAAAATTGGGTTAAAGCTTTTGATAAATTTAATGAATACCATATCGAACTCTCTGAAATTGATATTAAAAGTGTATAAAGTATGTTGCATAAGCATGGAATAACGTTACAAATAAAACAATTAAAAATTTAGGTGAAAGCAGATATTTTATCTAAAGATAATCATGAAAATGAGGATAAAACCAGTAACGATATATTACTTGAATTTAAACAGTTAAAGGAAATGGAAGAAGTTCAAGTATTAATCGATAAACTAGATTTTGACAATCCTTTTTCTGCCAAAGAATTTGTTAAGTATGATCAGTTTGAAATTATAGATAAAATGATATCTGACAAAAAATTTTAAAGTAGTTTTATTTAATCAAGAAAACAAAAAAGAGGAAGATTTTTTATCACCAATAATTATTTCTAAAAAAGTTATTAAGGCTTATGAAAAGTAATTTTATATTTGAAGTAACAAGAAAAATTTTTAATATGAAAAAAGAAGAATTAAGTTTTATTAAAAAGTTTAAAAAAGAAGCTTTAAAATAATAGTTTGTTTTTTCAAAACAAATTAATCTTGATAATTTTATTACTATAATTGATAGTAATTTGGGGATTACATAATAATATTTAATAACATTTATGGCAGTGTTAGACAATTAGACAGTTTTGGACAATTTTTTATATTTAAAACCTTATGCAAAACTTTTAAAATCTAAAATTATGTCCAAAACTCATCACTGATTTATGATTTATTTTTTACTTTTTATAGAATAAAATGATATTATAATTAGAAAAAATTTTGATGTATTAACTAAATAACATTCTGTGATCATGTTAAAATTTTGTTAAAATTTTGTTTAAATTGTTGAGAAATCACATTGTTTTTATTAATTTTTAACCAATTTTTATTATACTTGTGTTGAAATTGCTTATTGATTTTTTACTAAATTATGACAAATAATTTTATAATAATTTTTATTTATTACTAAGATGATGATTTATTATTGTAGATTTATTCTAATTGTCTAATATATTATATTTATTAAATTCATATAAGTTATTTTTGGATTGCTCTAATTTTTATAAATAATATAATATACAATTATAATACAATGCTTAGATTATTATTTTGACTTTTTGTTTTTAATACAAATCAGAATTTTGATTATAAAGAGTTCTTATTGTATTATTTCAATCATGAATAAAGAATTTTACAAAATATCAAATCAAATGGATAAATTTATTTATAAAGGAAGTATTTTTATCATTGTATAATTTTTCATCTTATAATTTTTCATCTTTTGAATCTTAAATTCACCTTTAAATCACTTAATTTTACTTTTTTTAAATTTTTTTTAAATTAAATCATAAATGATTACAAAAATAATTTGAAAAGATAACAAAATTGATTTATTAGTCAAAAAAAGAAAGAAGAGAAATAAAGAGTACTATGTCAAATACAAAAATTATAATACAGAGTTCTGGTAAAGTGTAGCCTAACAAATAAATCAAAGATATGATATAATATATTCAACTCATCAATATAAGCTAAAATGGAAGAATTTAGTATGTAATTACAATGTAAGTAAATAAATAAATAATAATACAGTCAACTCTTGTTATAACGAACTCTATATCCTAGACCTCAACTTCACTATAAGGCTATAGTGAAGATTTTAAAAGATTTGATTGGCCAATTCGCTATAACAAGAGTATTTTTATTATATTTGTTTAAAAAATTCGTTATATCAAGAGTTCGCTATATCAAGAGTTGACTGTATAATGATAAATATAACTTAACAGTATAATTAATATTTTTTAGAACTTATGCAATTATTAAAATAGAGTGAAAAAAGGTGAGAGGTAGACCTATACAGCAGAAAGTTTATATAATTTCTTTAGAACTCAATTTTAGGATGATCAAATAATAATTAAAAATGTTTAAATGATTTTTTAAATTTATATTAAAAATATTTACTTTTAGAATCAAGGTATACTTAAAAGAGAAATTGTAATTTGCTTACTACAAGACAAACCTGAAATATAAAGCAAAATCATAATGTGTCTGCAAGGTAATAATTATTAAAAAAATTTTCATTTTATTTTAATTTTTTTTTAAAATTTTCATTTTTTCTTTTTGTTTTATTCATTTAATTTTGTTTTTTCATTTCATTTTATTTTCTTAATTTTTTTTTCATTTTGTTTTATTCATTTAATTTCATTTTTTTGTTTCACCTTATTTTCTAATTTCATTTTATAATTTCATTTGATTATTAATTTTATTTTTTAGTTTTTTTAATTCATTTTTATCTTGTTTAGTTTTTTTAATTTTATTTTTCATCTTGTTTCATTTTCTTTTCATTTTATTTTTATTTTTTTATTTATATTTATTTTATTTTAAAAAAATGATAAATTAAATTTTTTTAATAAATTAATAAAACTGTTATATAATAATTAATAGATTGCATATTAAAATAAAATAATTTGAATTTACAAAATAATATGAAAATATTTTTAGAAAAATTATATTATAGTAAAAATTATATTTGTATAATAAAATCAATAATTATCTACTATAACGAAGATTCTTATAATGAAGACCTAATTAGTTAGATTGATTATTTTATTATATCAAAACGTAACTGTAGTATTTTATTATAGAATCTCTAATTATTATTAATAAATTTAATATTTTAAAAAATTATTATAAATCAATTTAATTTATTTATTTTAATATTATATTGACTAATACAGAGATAAAATAAATTATTTTTATTAAAAAAAATTTATAAATTATAATTTAAATATAATATAGATTATTATTATAAAGGATATCTATATATACTATATTCTTTCAAAAATAAACAACCCCTGAAATAAATAATATCTGTTTTATATAAATTCTAAAAATAAGCAATACTTCAAAAAAAATTGAAATTTTTTTTTTGTAAATAAATAATTTAACTTTATAATTATATTATAAATTACAAATTATTAATGTTTATTCAATTTTTATGAAAAAATTAATCAATAATATCAATGATATCATTATTACTAATAGTGATATCATCATTATAATCTTTATCAATATTATCATCATTATGATCATTAACATTATCATTATTAATATTGTCATTATGATCATTAATATTATCATTATCATAATCATTAATATCATCGCCATCTTGATCATTAATATCATTATTATTATATTCATTAATATCATTACTACTAATATCATTTGAATTCAAATTATTCAAAATATTATATATTTTAAAGAACTTAATAATTATATCAATTAAAATATCCTCTTATGAATGTTTCACCTAGAGAAGTAATCTGCAGATAATAATTTGCAAATATCCAAATAATGTAAATATCTGAATCACATTTAAGTACTGCAGATTTGTGAAATTTATCTGCAGATTATCCACAAATATTAATGGATATTTGTAAATTAATACTAATTCATAAGTCAAAATCTGCAGATATCTGTAATATTTATTACAATTTGTATTTAAACTTAAATATTTAGTAAAGTATAATACAAATAATTACAATAAGAATTAATTTATTTAAATGATTATATAAAGATTAAGATTTATTATAAAGAAAATTGTAATTATTAACAAAAGCTTCAAAAAATTTATTTGTAATCAACTAAATACTGTATATAACATAATTTTGAAAATTTCATCATAAGCAGCCTGATTTTTACATAGCTATATAAATATGTATAATATTTGTTAAAAATATTTGTTTCTGTCAAAAATTCTAATATGTAAATTTGATTATAATAAATATTAATATTGTAATAAAATTATAATAAAATAAATAATAGAAAATAGTTTAAAACAAATTGATAAATATATAAAATATAAATATACATTAGAAAAAAATCAGATAGTATTAGGTCTATCCATAAATATGTAAATATTTGTAGATTTGCTACTATTTATATGATATGTTAATTA